CCCCCGGCCACAAGCAGCAAGAACGCGTGCAAGAGAAAGTGCCTTTGGCCCTGGGCATAGACTATTTGGTCTTAGACCGCAGCGACCGCCAGCTGCTGCCGCTGCCCCTCTTCTGGCAGCTCACTGAAAACACTCCTCTCTGGTGCTGCCTCGCAGAACGCATTCCCAAGTACAAACACAAACTCAAGCGCTTCGTCCTCAACCCCAAAAACGCCGACTTCCTCGCAGAAGTCAGCCTAACCCCAGCCCCACCTCCCGCATCTCCCCTGCTGCTGCTGCTGCTGCTGTCGTTGCTGCTGCTGCTGTTGCTGGTGCTGCTGTTGTTGCTGCTGCTCCTGATGCTGCTGCTGCTGCTGTTGTTGTTGCTGCTGCTGCTGCTGTTGTTGTTGTTGTTGCTGCTGCTGCTGCTGTTGTTGTTGCTGCTGCTGCTGCTTGTCCACTGCTTTTTCCTCGTCCTGCTGGCTTTGCGGTATATTTTTATTCGGTTTGTTGCTGCTGCATTAGCGGCTGGCTTCGCTTATCCGGGTCTGCCGTCTCCGCTCTCTTTGCGGCCGCTGCTTGAGCTTGACTCGCTGCTGCTGCTGCCGCTGCTGCTGCTGGCGAGTGCTCGGTGGCCGGGCCGCGCGGTCAGCTGCTGTAGCGAGGCCTCTAAACTTGTTGCTGCGTTTCTTTTGCTGCTGCTCTTCAGGAGAAGTCCCAAAGGGCCATGACTGGCGCAATGCTGGCCAAGTACAGAAACAAAAGATCTGCGCTGCCCCCTAAACAAATCCACATCGGCGATGGGGTGGCCCTTTCTGCCTCAGTCGTCGGCGTCGCCCTGCGCTCCCAAGGCATTAGTACGCTCCTGCTGCTGCTGCTGCTGCTGCTGCTGCAGCTGGGTCTACTCCGGCCGTTGCGCCTGTGGCTGCTGCTGCTCTTGCTGCTGGGTCTACGCCGTCCTTTGCGTCTGCTGCGTCTGCTGCTGCTGTTGCTCTACGCTGGCCGTTGTGTCTGCCGCTGCTGCTCTTGTGTTCCTGCCCAAACCGCTGTGGTTGCTGGCGCTGCAGCGAAGTCGCGTCAGCTGCCTGCTGCTGCCTTTGTATCTCACGAGCTAATTGTATATTTATTTTGACCTCTTCGTGCTGCTGCTAGGACTGCACTGTTAGATTTCCTTTATCCTCTGTCTGTGTCTTCATTTTTAATTCAATTTTTTGTTTCTATTCAGCTCGATCCAACGTGGAGGGACTTTTCTTCGAGGTGGTCTTAGAACATTGTCTCTGTGTTTGCAATCGGCTGCCGCGGCCCATCACTCTGCGTTTCTCCGCCCGCGACTGCAGCAGCATGCTGCAGCAGCAGCAGCAGCAGGTGGTGACCCTCGACTCGTTCATCCCCCAGCCACCCACTGAAATGCAAATAGAAGCTGGAGAGGAAGTCTCACTCCCTGCAGACCCTGCCCACATTACAGTTTACTTTGGGGCGAGGGTTTCAAAGCCTGTGGAAGTTGACTTCTACAACGCTGGGGTAACAAAAGATTTTGTGATTTTGCCACTTTTGCTTCTTTTGCCTTTCTCTGTTCCATTTGAATTCTTTCTCGCAGCTTCTTTGATTCTGTTGCTTAGCCCAGGCTGGCCGGCCAGCCTCTGCACAGCTTTTGCGTCTTTGCTTCTCTAGCAGCCCCCTGGTGTCCTCTTAGGCTGCAAATTTTAATTTCTTTCTGCGCCATTATGTCACTTCTAGGCCATTTCTGTGGCACAAATTGCCCACTGCAGCAAGCTAGGCATGCATAGACTTTGCAGCAAGGAACGCGAGAAGGTCCCTGCTTGGGGCAGGCTGCTGCTGCTGGTGCTGCAGTTGCAGGTTCTGCTGCTGTTGCTGGTGCTGCTGCGCGCAGACCTCAGTGCAACGGGTGGTGATGCAGAACTGCAGCGAAGACAGCTCGACGCGGAGCGGGGCCTTCTCGGGGGTGGTGAAGGGGAGCCTGGAGCAGCGGCTGTCGCGGCAGCTGAGCGAAGGCACAGCGATGGACTCTGCAGAAGAAGGGACAGGAGACAAAGAGTCGGGGGGCCTCAGAGGCAGCGGACTGAACGAGTGGGAGGCCGTGAAGACTGTGGAGCAGGAGGCGCTGCACGAGCCCGCGGCGCTGCTGCTGTGGGCCGAGACCACAGACCACAACGGCGGCAGCAAAACCACCAGCTCCGCCACTGCCCAGCGCCTTTTCCACGGCACTTTTGTCAGGACTCTCACAGTCTTTGCGGACTTCTGGGTAGGCGGGCCATTCTGCATGCCCTTTGCTGCTGCTGGCTAGCTCCGGGGCTCTCCAGCAAGCCCCCCGTGGCCTGGGGGCCTGCTGCCTGCGCTGCTGCATGCAGCCCCGCAGCTGCGAGTTCTGCAGTGAGTGGAGTTTGCTGCTGCGCGCCCGCGGGGGCGTGCGTTGGCCGAATTTGCTGCTTGGGATGTGCTGCTGCCTGGCTTTGCTGCTGCAGGTGGTGAACCGGACGGGCTACGTGCTGCTGCTGCGGAGGCACGGGAACGGAAGCCTGCAGTCTTTGCCCCCGTTTCAGCGTGTTGTGCTCTCGCACGACTTCGGGGCCTCGCGGCTGGCCGTGGGGCTGCCGGCCTCGCAGTTCGCGCTGGTGCGGGACTTCGAACTTTACAGCAAAGAAGAGCAGACGCGGCTGCGGCGCTGCCTGCATGCAGCCTTTGCTGCGCGCAGCGACTCCGCGGCCTGGTCCCCCGAGTTCTTGCTGAGTGACATGGGGGCTTACCAAATCCAGCTGGAGCGCACGGAGACGAACCCCGTGCTGCACTACTCCGTCTCCATGGGCATTGCCCCTGCGCCCTTCTCCCGCACCACCGTGGTGGAGCTCCTCCCAGCCTACGTCTTAGTCAACGAAACCCAAAAGTGTCTTTGGGTCTGCGAGGCCCCCGGCGGGCCCGACTCCCGCTGCCACTTGCTCGAGCCCGGGACTCTTATGGAGTTCCACCCCCAGGGCAAACGCCCCGTCTCCATTCTCATTACAGCTCTGCCCCAGAAGGGGCTTGTCCGGAGACAGGCCAAGGTCATTGTCTCTTGGGACAGCTCCCAGCCCGACAACCCAGACCCCGCCGCCAGCAGCA